TTTTTTTTTTCATTATTGGCACAATAGTTTCGTTCGTTTTGGCAAGAAGAACACTTTCAGCGTTACACATCTACTGAAATTCATAAGACAGTTTCACTAGTAATTCCATGTACATATGTAATTTTGTGAGTATACATATGTATGTACATAAAATAAACAACATACAAGCATATTCTCTGAATTTCACCAAAATCGGATAACATTTCCCATTTCCGTCCACAAAAGCTGTGGGCGTGGCAGTTCAACGAATTTTATCATTTTCCGCATTTCTTCTTTCCTAAATTCAGAATAGCGTATACATGAAATTTCATCGAATTTATAGTACGGTTACGACTTTTGGCCGCAGTTTATACGGGGGTTGCCTTCTTAAATTATTCGTCATATCTTCGGCATTTACAGTTGGATTTTAACGTATGATATATCGATGTGCTTGAAAAGTTTTTTTTTTTTTGTTGCAAAGTTCATTAACCTCGGGCATCCCGTTCTAGTACTTACTCATCAGATCACAGTTCTTATCAACCTAACGTAGCACCCTACTATCAGTAGATTAAAGCGCACCAAAAATCATTAAACTTTCGCCAAAAAAAAATATAGACGAATGGGGTCTCTGGAAAATGTTAAAAGCGGACCCTAAATAATTTTTTTTCCAAATTGCCCTGCAAAGATACACACTTTTTTGTTTGCTTGTAAGGTGGTACAGTCTAATGTACACACAATATAATAAAGCAACTGCACAACTGGTGTGCAATTTAACCAGACATTATTAGTAGCCACTACCTTGTTATGGAATTGCTTCATCGTCGTATTTTCACTGCCGATTTCTCCAATTTTCTTATTAAATTCATTTATTGAAACGCTTTTAAATACATACAGTGACGAACAAAAGTATTGACACAGTGAATTTTTCGCAATATATGCAAACTTTTTATTTTCGATAGTTTTTTATAAAAAAAAATGTTCATACCACACAAAAAAACAAAATCTTTCAACTTTGTGCAAATTGCAGGAAAATTTCATAAATATGCATGGTAATTTGAAACTTTCTATTCAGATATTTTAGAAATTCAAAGTACGCAGTTTTATAGCCCATTCGATTCTAGCATAAGTGCAAGTTTGAAGTTGCTAGAAAATCGCATTAATTTTTTGCAAATTTTTCTAATCTCATCTCCATACAAAAAATAATTGTCGGAAAATACTTTGTATGGAAGAACCAGAGTGAAAAACATTTTTTTAAATCAACGCCTATCTCTAGCAACTTCAAACTTGCACTTTGTTATACTAAAATTTACTGGGCTATAAAACTGCATACTTAGAATTTCTGAAATTTTGCACATAGTTTAGAGGTTTTTTTTTAATTAGAATAAAATGTTTGCATATATTGCGAAAAATCCACTGTGACAATACTTTTGTTCGCCACTGTATGTACATACATACATTTTTTGCTTTGGCTGTTTGGAGGTAATTGAACAAAGTGTACATACATAGCATAACTATAATGGGGTGCTGCGCGCCTTCCTTACTTCCGTTTTCCCTCCACACTCGTATGCCTTTGCACCTTTAGCAATTTACCGTTTCCGCTCCCTTGCTTTCGCTAATGAAACTTTTTTTTTTATATTCCCCATTGCCATAGCGATTATTTTACACGCTCGTTTTCCTGCCAATTTCTTGCTGTAAACAATTTTATTTTTTCCTTAACACCTTTCCTAGTGCAAGTCTGTATGTATCCGTAGAACCATTTACGTTCACTTTTGCACTTATTTTTTTTATTAAGTTAATCGTTACTGTGTTGGTGAGTGTTTTCGTTATACACAACATGTATGCCAATAATTTTACATTTTCTTTTGATGAAATTTTGCATTATTTTGTAACCATTTTTATTTGAGTAATTTCGTAACAATTAATTAATAAATGTTTTATATGTATTCCTATTGCTTGTGTATTTTTTAAGTTTTTTTGTATTTGCTTGTTTTCTAAATAAAAAATAAACTCCTAACTTGATTTGTTTCGGCATGTTGAATTTTATTTTTTACCGTTGGACGAAGAGGTTTGTATATTTATTATTTTTTATAGTATATTTATATATATATATATATTTTTTTTTTATATTCATTGTTTTGATATACATACATATGGGTCATTCCACT